CATTTAATATATGGGCGTATCGACAAGTATAAAGGTGCAAGATAGATTACGGCGAGAAAAACTGTCTAGCACAACCCAGTTAACCAACTTTTCTAGCAGCTGCCATATTATTTGATTTATGATTTGTCATTCCACTTCATGGCAGTGGGAAACGTTAAGCCGAGAAGACGCAACGAGTTACTTTCCTGGGGGATAGAATCAGCCATGCTAATGGAAGGCAAAAAATGTTTCTCTCAGACGATTAAAAGAGAGACATTTCACTTCCGAGGCGTTAAAATTATCAAGCCATTTATTGCCCCAGTTAACAACAGATTGAAGTAGATTTTCAATATCACCTGCCAATTTGACTTCATCGAATCTTACCAGAAAAGGGTAAATAATTATGTCATTATTTGTGTCGGTTCTAATTTTGTGAATAAACGATGAAGAAAGCGATTTGAAGAATTTAACACGTCACAGGATACATTGAAAACAAGAGGGCCAGGGGAGACATGCGAGTAAACTACTTAACGAGTTTGGATAGTAGAACGGGTACAAAGTGGGATATTAAAGCGTTAAACGTTCCTTATAGCTACAGTTGTAGTTGGAAGGGGTGGAGAGCCATGATCGTCTACGTCCTGAACGGTCAAGGTATATAAAAGAGTGAACTGATGTAGGAATTTTGAAGATGATGGATTTTTTTTATGTGTCTTTCTTTTTTGCAATAATTTGCACGTGAATCTGGAAAAAAAATGCCATTTCAAAAACTTCAAACATCTTTTATATGTCAGTAATTTAATTATCAGTCTGTGGTTCTTAATCTAATCTGATTTTGTTAATATTTATAAATTGCTTTATTCTTTTTCTTTTTTCTTTTTTTATTACTTGCATTATTTACATTAATCGGACTGTTATCCTCCTCTTCAATGCTATATTCACAACGTTTCGGCCGTTGTACGCTCCGGCCTTTTTCAGGTAATTGGAATTTCGAATTGAACCCTTTATTTCGCCCACCGGGGGGTAGATTGTTCTAGTTCCACGTGCCATGCCTCTTTCGTATGTCTCAGTTATTTCCCTTTAACTCAAATCTCCAAGTTTTTGGTTCAGCACTGTGGTAGACAAAATAAAGGGTTGGGTTCGAAATTCCAATCACTTGAAGAAGATCAGAGCGTACAACGTCTGAAACATGGTGAATATGGCAATGAAGGTGAGGATAACAGTCCGAATAAGGTAAATTATGCAAGCAATCATCATATCTCATCTCAGAGAATCCAATCACCTGAAGAAGGTCGGAGTGTAAAACGGCCGAGACATTGTGAATATGGCAATGAAGATGAGGATAATAGTCAGAATAATGTAATTTAAGCAACTTATCATAATACCTCATCTCAGAGATATAGAGGCCGAAACGTTGTGAATATGGCAATGAAGATGAGGATAATAGCCAGAATAATGTAAATTATGCAAGCAATCATAATACCTCATCTCAGAGATCCAATAGTGCTGCCAAGGTAAACAAACTTCTCAATTACCCCTAATCTTATTCCATGAACAAAGACGTTTGGCTCAATATATGGCTCTTCGGGAGCACGAGTAAATATTACATTGGTTTTTGTGAGGCTTATCGTAAGACCAATCAGATATCCAATCACCTGAAGAAGGCTGGATTATATAACGACTGAGACGTTGTGAATATGGCAATGAAGATGAGGATAACAGTCCGAATAAGGTAAATTATGCAAGCAATCATCATATCTCATCTCAGAGAATCCAATCACCTGAAGAAGGCCGGAGTGTAAAACGGCCGAGACGTTGTGAATATGGCAATGAAGATGAGGATAACAGTCCGAATAAGCAATCATAATACCTCATCTCAGAGATAGAAACATATTTTTTTTTTAATATTCGACTCTGCCAAATTCAGGATGTCTTTTTCATAATATATACATATGTTGGCTGCTAAGCATCTGTCGTTGTTACAGGAAAATAATTAAAAATGCATTATGGTTAAATGCTATAATAAATTCTACAGAAAAAAAATGAAACCATCAGAGATACCCGGCGTTGCCTGGATCAACTCCGCTTTCCTTTGCTCCGCTGTTTTTCACAGTCTGACTTGCGACCATATAGCGCTGAAACATTGGTTCCCGTATGATTTGAACATTGAAAGTCTTTGAAATTGAAAGTCTTTGATTTAATAGTAGTCTCTCCACTTAGGGCGAACGGCTGTATCACGTTTAAACACCAGTTACGAAGTTAAGCAACATCGAATCTGGTCAGTACCTAGATGGGTGATCACTTGGAAATATCAAGTTCCGTAATCTTAGATGTGCGCGTGGTGTACGTGATAATGGCACGGACGGGTTAATCGGAGAGCCAAGTTCCAGTTTCATTTGTTTCGTTATATTTACTTGGGAAAAGTATGAATCCACCTCTTCTCTCCCCAGCTATGGGTTAATTAGTAAGACTTGTATCACTAAATCATTACTATCTTCCCCCATCAAAACATTCTTACAATCCA